TTAAGAGTCTGTAAAGTTGGAGAGAGTCGAGTCGTGACACAACACGATTCCTGCCTATTCATTTAGTCGGCGAGTCTTTCAGGCTTCTCTCCCTGGACATAGGTTAATAAATTAACAGGTTTTGTTTTGTTTGCGCTTTATGTTCTGCAAAAGCCAGTGTTTGGAGGGCTATTATAATTTTGATATAAACAACAATAAAGATTTTACAGCTGTTTTTATAGGACTGTCACCATACACAGGAGATTTGTTTATCCAATGTGCTGCTTGATTGCTGCTTTTATGAATGTAAATGGTGATCTTCCATTGTTTGAACTGGCACAAAAACTAACCAGGCTTCTTAATAACCTGACATGTGTGACCTGTGTACACCTACCCTACTGAATAGTAGTAAAATCGGGGAGAAATTGGTTAGTTTTCTGTTTTTGTTTCGTTTTCTTTTGCCTCGCAGGAATATTGACCTAAATTTCACGTGAGTAATAGGAATTGGAGATTTATCTTTATTGTGAAAAGAAAAAATTGTAAAAGGTATTTCAGGGTTTCCCTCAGTGTATTATAAGCCTAGCGGGCCACCAGGCTTTACTTGTGCCCACACCAGGCTAAGCATTGCTTCTTTTTTTTAAATTTTTAAAAAAATGTTTGCATTTTTTAAGACTTTATAGTTGGTGTTCAAATATTAATCTTCCAATCTTTCAATACCACATAATTATCAAGTGATATTTTCAAATTTCCTGTTTAAACATTTTTTAACTCAAAAACACAACGGGCGGCTGGATGAATGACTGCCTTAGCGCCCAACCACCGGGCTGAGCAAGTTTTCTTGGAGAAACCTTGAATATTTAGGTTCGTCATGAAAATGGTAAATTCCAATTAATAACATTTAGAAAAGCCCCCAAACTACCTGAATTATTGTTTTACTATTTCCTCCACTTTTGTTTCAAGGAGAGAATCAATGAATGTGAAAATCTGATAAAATATAGTCACAGGGCATAATTTGGTAATAAGTCACTTTTTTGTCCTGAAGAAGCCTGTTCTAATTTTTTTAAGCCGTATTTGTGTTTTTGTGTATTTTTTGACAGCAGTGAGATGAAAAGCCATAAAGTTAGTTGCCTGGAAAAAGACAGTGAAGAAGTTGTAAAAGCCTTTTTACTGTCACTATTTATCACAATAAATTCTGCAAAATATGGTGATTAAAATTTTACATTCATATCGCCCAACTTTAGTGAGTAGGGGTCTGATAGCTCCTAACAATAAGAACAAAGTCACTGCAACATTGTCTTTGTTTGTTTGTTTAGCGTTGTTTAGGACTTATCTTCCTGTTAAAAAAATGATGAATCATACACTTGCATTGTGATCCAGTTATGCTGTCTGGTTCTGATGGGCTTTGGGTGAATGAATACTGTACTGGTGATTCACTGGAAGGCGACAGCTGCCTCACTGGTCTGGTTTTACTTTGCAGAGACAAAGTCCAGTTGGATAAATACAAACCTTTTATGCTGATGATTGTATTTTTAGTTTAAAAGAAAGCCCAGGCTGTTTGATTACCTTGTCTTTCCAAAAGTTTATTCTACTTCAGGTTTTATCTTTCACTGTTCCACACTATAAAACCAATTTAAATATCATAAACGCTAAACTTGACTTCATTTTGCATTAGATTCTGGAAGTTATCAGTAATATTTCCTTCACCCTTTTTAGAAATGTGTAGTATCACTGTAAGCTTAATAAGCAAATACATCCTGGTACTGATGTTTGTCAGAAAATGAATATTTTCAGTCACACTATAATTCTTCATATCAGTAGAGTTGAAAGTTAGCAATGTGCTTTCAGTCTGTAATTCCTAACAAACTCTTAAATTTGGGACTATTTTGTTCATCTGTGTGAAGTTACGTTGGTTGAACCTGCTGGTTGCATCAGGTCATCAGATAGCAGAGCAGCGATCTGATAAGCTTTGTGTCAGACTTCCTGTTGTGCAACAGCATCGACGACGCTCCGCTCCTGAACCTCACAGGTCTTGTGGTTTAGAAATGATCTGGGCTGATGAGGCGGATTAACGCAGTTTACATCTGACTACCTTCCTAGCTTCTACTGCCCCAAGGATGTGTTTACTTTTTCAAAAAGATCATAGTGATGTGACATCTTTCTACTATAGCCAACGATCACCAATAAGAGGTTCACATCACCTCTGTTTGGGAAGAAAAAGTAAAGGTTTGTTTAGATCAGTTTAGACTAGAAGAGGCGTCTGTCAAAGTGGCTCTTTGGACCTTCCACTGCCTGTCAATAACTTTGGTTCCTAATTTTTAGCCAATCTTGTTAAATACAGATAATAAATGGAGGATTTTAACTGTTTTTCAGTTGTTTTTCTTTCAATATTTGCACTGAATTTCCACAATGGATGACAAAAAAAATACCAGTAGTTTTTGTCTGTTTTATTATTAGGTTGGAATCTGAGCTTTAAAAAAAATCTCTTCCTTTGTTTCTTTATTTTAAATCCTAAAAATAGAACTTAAACACTGTATCTTTAATAATGACAATTTTTAATTTTTTCTCTTCACAGTCATGTGTCATCTATGACTAAATGAGTTTTATTTGACTGTCCTCGAGGCAAAATGTCTCTTCAGATTGTAAAAATTTAATCTTCTTTGTGTTGCTTTTTTTTTAAACATTGTATTGCTTAAAAAATTAGATTTTTGCACACTGTGTGGTATTCAGGCCTGAGTTTGACTCGTGTGGCAACAAAAAATGTGACTAAGTTAATTTATGTAGGGCTGAAACAATTAATCATTAACTAGTTTAGTAATCAATTAATCGTTAACTGGAGTATACATACTCTAAAAATGTCAATTTTTCTGAAAGAACAGTCAGAGCAGTAATTGAACGAAATCTGTAAAAAAAAAAAACTGCATTTTATTTGTAAGATGAAAAAGTATCTATAAATTTGTTGAACGTCTGACTGCCTTGCTAACTGCTACTACTCCAAGGATGTCTTTACTTTTTCTTTATTTTTCTCAAAGTGAAGACACTTCCCCAGTAGGATAGTTTAAGCTTCACCCAGTTCAGATTGCACAATTTTTTAAAATCCAATTAATCATGAGAATATTTGATTAATACAATAATTAACAATTTATGACTTAACAAATGGTTTTATTACTTTCTCCAAAGTCCAGGTATGATTGGATAACCTGCTTCTGCTCTTTATTTATTTTTAAAATCATCATCTGAAAGTCACTTCAGAAAATAAAATGTTAGGTTTTGAAGTGAGGCAATAAAAGGAAAGGGGTGGGGGGACATAAATCTGTAGGAGAGCAACAGTTTTTCACAGCACTTTGCATCCTTGTTGAGTCCATCTTTCTGTTTTAGTGAAGGAACTTAAGTCACTGATCAGATGGCCTAAATACCCAGCATGTCTTTGCTCAAAAGGCTGTAATTAACGTGGGTCAAAGCTGTAGGAAACGACAGAGCAGACGGCATTACAAGTAACTCTGACATGCTGCCGTAATCTGCAGGAGTATTTTATTCCCCCAAACACAGCTGTGAAAAATCACCTCAGGGAACATTATGGTTACCAGAATGAAACCCTTCTTCTTTTGGGACTGATGCGCTTCCTGTTGTATTCGTTTAAGGTCAGGAATCCAAAGTGTCGCAATATTAAGATGCCGAAAGATTTGACGTAAAGATTTTCACTGTGCGCTGGCCTCTGGCTGCATTCTGCTGGGGGGAGGGATGGGGTTAATGGCTGGAGAGGAATGCAGCCATGTATAGGCTCTGTGGGGTCTGAGAGCCTCCCTCTTCCTCCTCCTCCTCCCTCTTCCTCTCTGCATGTTCAGGCTGCTTCCGTCACTCACCTGCCAGCTCAAACAGGAGGGGAAACTATCGTGAATTTAAAAAAGAAAAAAAGAAGGATCTTGTCCAATCGGGCAATGGACGCCACTTCTGGGGGGTTGGGTTAGGAGGATTGTGCAGCTTCTGAGTCGTCCCTATTAATAAAGACTCGGCGTCTGATTTAGTCCATGCTTCGTAGTTCAGGAATGAGAGGCGATTTGCAATTGGAGTAGAGCGCGCTCTGAACTGTCACAGCATTTGAGTGATGAGGTCATCCAGCCAGCAGAGTTATTTTCTGATCAGTTGTTCTTCCAGAGGTCGTCTCCAAAATCAACCCGACTGCACCGTGGTCGCACCGTTCAGGCTATTGTTTAGTTTGTTCAATGGCCTCAGTGCTGTTGAACAAACCAGTTATGTCATCAGTCTGTACTTTGACAGGAATCATTAAATCTAAATACTTTTTAGTAGAGATGCCCCAATTTGAGGACCTTTTTTTTTTTAATTAAAAATAATTTTTTTTTTAATTGTCTATGGTTTGTGATCTGCAGGGCAAATACTGAAAAATCAGTTTTTTCTCTTTTTGGGTCTTGTTTATTAAATATAATATAAATGCATCAACCAGCTGCATATAGTTTGATGCGTTTTGTTTTGAGTTTAATAAAAAAGTACATAAAGATTAGGGACAGGGCTGCAGGTAAGGATTGTTCTAGTAATCGATTTTTCTGACGATCAATCGGATAAAAACATTTTGGGCACATTTTGCAGATTTTTCATTTGACCACTTCATCCATTTTTCATAAAATATTAGAAATGCACTAAAAGATTCTTTCCAGTTAATCAATTAATTATTAAATCAGTCGACCATTATTTCAATAATCCATTCATCACAATTAATTTGATTAATCACTTTATCTCCGTTTAGGGATATGTTTGGTGAAAACCGTGCAAGTCCTTTTCAGTTTGAAGTCACTCTCTGTATCAAGGCGCGTGCAGGACCTTCGACCTCTTTCAATCGCAACGGGCCAGTCGGCTCTCGGATAATTTAAACTGAAAATCGGTATTGTTTAGGAAAGTCCTGACGGGCAGATCTGTAATTTCCCGCCTGCTGCCTATCTGTGATCAACTTATCTGTTAGCGTTTCTACACGTTCACCCTCCTCTCCTGCGCCTGTTCTTTTCCGACAGCATCCCAGTCGAACAGCAGCCTGAAGAAGCAGAGGAACCGCAGCATATTCTGCACACTCTTTTGTTGCTTTCGCAACTACAATGCGGAGCCACCAGCCACCAACAGCACTCTGCCTCCACCTGTTGAGGAGAACGGATCGCCTCCCAAGGTAGGACAGACCCAGGCTGCGTCGGACAGCTCTTACTCTGCAGGACTGCTTCATCTTTTGTGAATAGCGTCTTTGTTAGTGTTTGATTCTGTGACCTTTATCTGTTGTGTTTGTGTGTGTTCTTCTAATCCTTACCCTGGATTTTGTTTGTGTGTTATTTTCTCTTGTGTTGTAGTGTGACCAGGTTGAGGTCATCCCTGTCCCTAGTGTATGTATCATGCATATTTTATTTTCCTTCCTTGCATGCAGGCCGGTGGGCTGGTGCAGCCTCTCTGTGTGGGCTCCTCACAGAGCTTTAAATCTGCTTCGTTTGCTTCACTTTATTTTCAGCTGATTACATCACAGGATGTGTGGAAGGTGTGTGATGGATGCACCTATTACACAAAACCGTTGAGCACTTGCAAATACGGCTGTAACTAATGATAATTATATTGATTGTTTTGACGATTAATCAATTAGGCAATTAATTGGATAAGCAAATGAGCACATTCTGCTTATTTCGCTTTTCTTTTTTTAATTTAGCCACCTGGTCCTTTTTATACGATAAGTACATTAAAATGTAAATAACAAAAAGGAAAATAAACATGTTGTTGCTTATAATGCTAAAACGTAGCATTTCTTTAGTGATCGTTTGATCACTTGTAACAGAAGATGCATCTGCAGCTAAATCAGCGTGTGAAAAGCTCAGCCTTTTCTGCCTGACTTGACATCAATACAGTGTAATGTTGACAATTTTTATTTGTAAACAGATCAATAATTGGATAGCAAAAAGTGGTTATTAGGATTTTTTTTCCTTTTTTGGGCTGAATTTGAGCTGAGTAAAGCTAAAACTACTTGAGTCTTCACTGGAATATAATCACAGATAATTTTTTATATTTAATGCTAAATATATTTTGTAGTATTGGTTTAATTGCTGCTGCTCTTCCACCAGTTGGCCGCCTTATGACTGTATGCTCCATTTAAAGATTAATCAATTGCTAAATTAGCCGACCATTATTTCAATTACGATAAATCGCAATTAGTTGATTATTCGTTTCAGCCCTACTTTAAATATTCAAACTTTAAAAAAAAAAAAAAAATACTACCTCAGATTTATTGCAATAGTTGAACACAAAGTAGTGCATAATTGTGAAAGAAAAATTATAAACAGTCATGAAAATTTAATGCAAATTCATGCTACGTCACTGAGAGTGTGATCAGAAATGTAAAGCATGTTTTATTTTTGTTTCACGTCACAATTCTGCACTAGTTTGTTGGCCTGTCTTATAAAATCCTGTTAAATTATATTAATTGTAGTAGTATTGAAATATGAGTTCTTTTTGCAAGACACTTGACCTGCATGAATAACACTTGGTCTACTAATAAGTTAACACAACTGTTCAGAAACGTCCATTTTTATGAGCTGCCTTGTCATGCTACTAATAAATTAAGTAAAAAAATTACTCAAACACTTCATTCATTGGCTTGTGAGCTCACTTGGGGCAAAACTAATTGATCCCTTTAGTCAAAGCTCTGATCTGCTTACCTGTGACCGGCTAAATCAGATTACTCATCAGCGAGGCTCTGCTACTCTCGTACGACACTGTTACAACACGGAGGCACATTTCATGTGTAGGTTGGGTTTACTAGCATCTCCTGACAAACGTATAACCCCCCACAACCTCTTATAATGGGGAAAAACACACAAAAGTGTCAAATTAACAACTAACAACCTGTCGTCTCTTCATTGATATTTTAGTTCTGCCCTTCCAAACAAATGTAATCCAGCCTAGCTTGGATCTCGCTAATGATTTGTAAAGTGGGAGACGATTTCCTGCTACTAGAGTTGAAGCACGGCCAATACTAGAAGATGTGATGTAACGTTTGTGTGGCTGTTGGATCTGCTACTTTTAGTGCACAGCAACACCTTATCCAACACGTCGGAGCTCAGTTTATGCTTTCCAAACCCGCCAACGGAGACAAACTAAATTAAAGATGATCTTCCTTTCAAATTTACAACAATACTTCGGATGTGCTGGAGTGTTTGGGAGTAGCAGGAAAATTCCCACTAACGAGGCATTGACGTGTTTGTCGTTTTAAAGCTTTGACCCAGTTTCATGCATAATTCTGGAATTGGCTTAACTCTGTTTCCTAACACAATATGTTTGGGAGCTTCTCCTGCAGGATGCCAAACTTAATGCCAAGTTTCTCTCTGTAGATCTGACATCATCTGCTTCTTCCTCTCTGCAGCCGCCAGCCAAATACCTCCTACCAGAGATGAAAATATCTGACTATGGTAGAAAGTGTGTGGTGATAGACTTGGATGAAACCCTCGTGCACAGCTCATTTAAGGTAAGAGGGGACTGAAGTTGTTGTTGCTCTGTTCATTTGTCACCTGTAAATGTCTGTTCTTTCTCTTCAGCAGTATTTGTTTTAAGTACGGATGCACCAATAAATTGCCATAATTTATTTTAATTTTGGGGGATTCGTGATTGCCAATTTTACCTTCCTCCACAAAGGTCTGATAATCAGCTACTAGCTGCGTTTTCATATAATTGTTCAATTTAAAAACTAAATTTGCTTAATGGAAGCACCAATTTCTGATAAATTTACATTTCTCAAAATAAAATTTTGGTGCTGGGATGAGGTATTTTTTGGTAATATCAATATTGGTTTGTTTTGCAAAACTGCAATGGAAAACTTTATTTGCATGAAGTGAAATGGTCACCCTACTGTTGCCAACTTGGAGACTTAGTTGCTATATATAGCAACTAACTAAAAAAAAGGAAAAGAGAAATTGGTATTGGACAAATTCGGAATTGGCAGGTCAAAATCGGTGATCTTCCTTTGTGCCATTAATCAAAGGTCTGGCAAAAATGAACTGCAAATTAAAGTTTTGTTTATTCCAGGGTGTCCACGTCCTTAAAAAAAAATTCTAAATTCATCATACAAATAAACATTGACCTTAAATATGTTAATCACAGGTTTTAAGTCTTGTCATGTCAGGACTCTTTAATCTCGTATGTTCTGTGTAGTTTATTTTTTCGCAGAACTTTTCTGTCAACCAAACATTTTGGGATCTCATTCTTACATCTTCATTTTGTTCTGTGACATTAGACAGTTGAAGCTCCCGCTAACTAGCTAGCTGGTTTTTCTTTTTTTGATTCTGTAATGTGGGAATATAAATTTATCGCCAGTTGACTGGACGACGGTCGTCTTCGCCACTCACTCACTTCTGTTGCTAATCAATGTGATATGTGGATTTTGTGCAAAAAAAAAGCTGCTCAAAATATTTCATTTTCTTTTGTAAATTTCTGTCATGATACAGGTCTTAAATCTCATAATAGTCTTTAAAACGTCTTAAAACACCTGCAGAAACCATGCATTCTGTTTGGTTTGAGTGTAAAGCCGCACCTCTAGTTTTGTGTTTGTTATAATTGTGGCGTTATCTGTGAGTAACTCTGCTCCCATTTGCATCGTTTTACCAGCAGGTTTTCCTCCCGCTGTCTAGTTAGTCCTAAAATAACTGCTTCATTGTCTGGGCTGCTGAATTACCACGCAGGTTAAAGAGAGAAGAGCAACTCATCAGTCAAATCATCTGCTAGGACGTTTTGTCCAAAACTGCTGCAAGCAGGACCTCTACTGTTCGGTTGCAGTACTGTGATCCTCATGCGCTCTGTTTGTGTCCGCAGCCCATCAGTAACGCTGATTTTATTGTACCAGTGGAGATCGATGGTACCGTTCATCAGGTATTGTACACACCCAAAAACATTTCTGTGACGCAGACGAGTGACTCTTAGAAGAGCTGGGGGGTTGGTGGGGAGTTTCTGTTTGTTTCCTGTGTGAAGACCCTGCAGAGACTGACTGGTATCCAGTTCAAGTAATCCAGGATAGGCTGTGTGTATCCTGGTTGGCCTATTCATGATTACTTGCACTGGGTGTCGGCCAATGGGCGGAGAGCGAGGTGACGTAGGAAGTACTTATGCTAACGTTGATGTTTGTAGCTGAACTACATGAAAATACCACATGGCGGAAATGAAGGAGTTGGTTTTTAATGGGACGTCTTTGGTTCTGGTTCAGGTGTACGTGCTGAAAAGGCCCCATGTGGACGAGTTCCTCCAGAAGATGGGAGAGTTGTTCGAATGTGTGCTCTTCACAGCCAGTCTCGCTAAGGTTTGGGGGATTTATTTTATTTTTTTATTTCTCTGTTCTGTCTACTAACTAGTGACACTTCATTTTGTTGTTGTGCTCTTTTGGTCTTCTCATATTGTTTGATTTGTTGTCGTCCTTTTTTTTTTCTTCTACTTTTATTTATCTTTTCCAATAATAAATCGGTAAGTTTTCTTAAGAGATAATCAAGTAACATGCCTGTAATTATTAGGGATGCACCGATCCACTTTTTTACTACGGATAACAATATCTGAGCTGCATTGACTTAAAGCATTTATTTAGAAAAAAAAGACACATAAATATGCTAAATAACAAATTTAATTGATAACTACACAAGTACTTCAGGGTTGGTCAAACATGTAAAAACAACTTTAATTTGTTCAGTCATTGTAATTAGGAGAACAGCCAATGTAGAGTAAATATTAAAGAAAATGAAATAAACTGCAACAAACTTTCTTCTTCCAAATGGTTCAGAAAGTGAAATTAGTTATTCTAAAATTAATGTTAAATAAAGCATAGAATTAAACTAAATAGATCAGTCCTTATAGATTCTAGACATACCTGATACAGATATTAATATCGGATTGGTGCATCTGTAGTAATTATTGCTTTAAGAGCCGTTTTACATGCTGAGTAAAAGGCTAGGAACCACGGCGCTTTTTGTGAGCTAGAGTAGTGTTTGCTGACATCTTCCTTGCTTAATAATGAATTGAGGATACCATGCTTTTCTTTTGAAACAAGTTTTGCATTTAGTTGTTCTGCTTAGAACTGTGGCTTGAAACATATCTCTGTGCTCCACATTAAAATAAAAAGAAAACGTGTGTATTGATGTTCGCCATCGTGACGTGTGTGTGTCTGTGTGTGTTTGGACAGTACGCAGACCCTGTGGCCGACCTGTTGGACCAGTGGGGCGTTTTTCGAGCACGGCTCTTCAGAGAGTCCTGCGTGTTTCACAGAGGGAACTACGTCAAAGACCTCAGTCGGCTGGGGCGGGAGCTCAATAACGTTATTATTGTCGACAATTCACCCGCGTCCTATATTTTCCATCCAGAAAATGCTGTAAGTTCTTGTTTGTGGTCTGTTTCTACTTGGGTTACATCAGAAAACAACAAACGGTCCAAGGGATTCCCTCAGTGTATTATGAGCCTGGCGGGCCACCAGGCTTTACTTGTGCCCCCACCAGGCTTAGAATTGTTTATTTTAGTTTATTGTTATTATTATTGCCTGTTTTTAAGACTTTATGGTTGGTGGTTAGGTATTAACCTTCCAGTCTTCCAATAAGGTATAACGATCAATTGATATTTTCAAATTTCCTGTCAACTTTAAACATTTTTTAACTCAAAAACATGGCCCTGCCCTAGCGCCCCGAGCACCAGGCTTAGCAAGTTTTCTGGGGGAAACCTTGCAGTCCCTTTGGAAATCATTTCTATCTTTTGAATGTTTTGCATTTTGCTACAGTTACAAAATTCAATGTTTTTCATAGGTATTTTGATCGTAACTGTAGTCCACCTCTGTGTAATCTAAATCCAACTATTCTGTGAAGTTCTGAGAGTTTCTAGATTGCGTCCTTTGAATCAAGCCGAGTGTTGACGTCGCTCCTTGTCCGCCCAGGTCCCAGTTCAGTCCTGGTTCGACGACATGAATGACACAGAACTCCTGGACCTGCTGCCTTTTTTCGAGGGACTCAGCAAAGAAGACGAGGTTTACGGGGTCCTGCAGAACTTCCGGAGCAGGTAGCAGGACACGCTGCCCTCCTCTTCCTCCTTCTCTCCGTGAGTCGCTCTCTGTCCCTTTCTCCGGCCCGTCGTTGTTGTCTCCGGCCCCTGGACGACGACTCTATGGCAACGCGTCACTGTGGAAACCCGCTCTCTCTCTCTCTCGCTCCCTCCCTCTCTTTCTCTCTCTCTCTCCTCCTGGTGACTGGCTGCCTTCCGAGTGCCATCAGAAAAACAAACTTAAAAACCTTTATTACCCCAGGACCACTGTGTCTCTCAGAAAGCGGACAGAGCGGAGGACAAAATACTAAGAGGAATGAACTCTGGTCTTTATTTTCAAATCGGCAGACTTTTACTATTCAGTAAAGTGCTAATTTTTAAAACCAAAAGCAAAAGACAAAAAAAAAGAGAAAAGAAAAATCAACTTTCCATCTTTAGACTCTTTTTGTGGTACCACACAAAAGCCTGGAAACTATTTTGTCCTCATATTGTTGCTATGCAGGCAGTTTCTGGTAGTAGAAAGGACTGTGACTCTTTTCTTACTGAATGAAGTGCCTTGTATGAATGTAGTTTATATGGGGAGTCGTTTTCTACATGGCAGAATTTGCTTTAAAGTGGACACAAAAGCATCTTTATCTAAGGTTGTACTTTGCTTTTTTTTTTTTTTTCGATCATCATCCGCTGGGTATTTGTCTCGTAGTTTTTTTTTCCTGTATGCTTGTGCCATTATATAGATGCGACTTTGTTTCTTTCAACTTTTATTATTTGTAGAGCTAGTTCTTTTGTGTTAGGAGAACGCTTGCAGAACATCAACCCCCCCCCCTGCAAGCTTTTTTTCTTTTTTTTTTTCTTTTTTTTTTTTGATGATTTGATCTGAAAGCTCAGATAAAACTGTGCCATTCGTTCATTTCTCTCTCACATTTCCCATATTGCATTTTATTATTTGCCAAAATGAGGAAATGCGTTTCAACACGCTTCATATCTTTGCCAGAATTTGAGTAGACCATTACTAAATATAGCATTATAGTTTATTTTTTGTGTGTTGAGATGATCTGTCATGTTTATCAGATGGCTAGCTCTTTTATGTGCATTTTTTTTTTCTGAAAGAGTCTGGGGGTTATTGCAGCAAAATGGTCCAAGTGCCATGTTCTTTTTTTTTTTTTGTCAGACACGAGGATCTTTAGGAAAAGTTTGTTAAAAATCACACCTTCATCCTGATTTGCGTGCGGTTGTGGCCTGGCCTTATCCAGCCCTGGTGTAAAAACCAGCAAAGACCATGTTTGATGTTTATCTTCCCAGACTTTTTCTTTTTAAAGAGGGAAAAAAAAAACTCTTCTTCACCTCAGTGCCTATGTTTGAGAGGAGCCCAGCAAAACCGAATGCTGCAACATTAGCTACCATGGCAATAACCTTTTTTTTTTTTTTTTCTCCTTTTTTTTTTTTTTTTTCCTGTCCCAGTATGTTTGTTGTTTCTAAGAGCACTTGACAAATCTCGGCAGTGGAGGTTTGTCTGCAACACACGATTTGATGAAAGACAACCTTTTTTTTTTTTTTTTTTTAAATCAGATTTTAAAGTGCTGGAACAGTTTTGAATGTTGCGCGGGTGATTCCAGTGAACAGGTCGACTACATCGCCATGTTTACCAGCTTTCGTCAAGGCAGACTGAGAAAAGGATGCCACAGTGAGGGGAGGGGATCTTCAGTCCTGGTCCAGGGTGAAATGAAACACTACCAGGGCAAAGAAACTGAAAGGAAAAAAAAAAAAAAGGGGAACTGTGAAGAACCTAAAATCTTTTGGCATTGACGCCTTACTGCCTACGGAGACACAAAAGCAATTCTTTTTCCTTGATTCCAATGTTACATTTTACAAGGTTGCTGTTGCGTCTGTGCTGTTTTTATTACGGAGTCTTGAAGCCGAGCTGCACATGTAGATCACGTGCGTCTCAGCCGAAGCTGTTTGGGCTCTGAGGACGCTGGGATTCATTAATGGGTATTTTATGAAATGGGTACACTACTTCACAAGTTCCTGTTTTGTTTTGTTTTTCCCCCAATTTTCAAGGTCGCTGCTCTTTCAGGAAAAGGGAAAACCTGATCATCTGATCTGTGTTTTGTCTGTAGTGAGTGTTCAGGTCATTATGGTTTCAGTGCAATGCTTTTTTTTTTTTTTTTTTTTAAGTATATGAAGCATTGCTTCTACTCTCCTCTGCCTCACTGATTTATTTATCTGAAAATGTTTCATTGTAATATTTTTCTACCTACATCTCATCAGTATTTGGTATAAAAAATGGCATGTAATCCATCTTTTTTTTTCTCAGTTTGTTCTTTTCTCTCTTTCAGACCTTTTGTGTCCCTTTCTTTTGTCTTTTGGTAAGAGCCACCCATTGGGTCTCGACCTTCCTATCAGGGGTCGAGTTTGTGTGTCCGTTGGTTTCAGTAGTTTTTCTTTTTTTTTCCACCATGTATCATTTTCACTTATAATCACATTGATCAGTTTGTATTAACACCAAAGTTCGGAAACACTTGAGTTTAAACCACAGTGGTTTTTATTTGGATCAGGTTCTTCACTTTTTTTTTTTTTTTTTACATGCTGGTTTTTGTTGACTTTTGAGTTTTGGCAGTGTTTGTCATTCTGAGCATTTATTTTTTTCTTTCCTTAATAAAGTCTTCATTGAAACTATACATTTCTCATGTCTGGGTTCTTTTAATCATACTCTGAAAAAGTATTTGCCACTTCTTTTATTACACTTTTAACCGCACTGCAGACTGAATAAATCAAGGCCGGTCCAAGCCTTTTTGGGACCCTAAGCAGATTTTTTCATTTGGATATTCCAAATTGTATCATGCTACCTCAGGGCTCTTGGGGGGGGCCCTAAGCATCCACTTAACTCGAACACCATGTGTTTGATCTGGAATAAACTTAAAATAATGGATTTTTTTTTTTAATTTTTCAAAAGCCACTGCAATAAAAGACTTATTTTAAGACTGTTACGTCTTTACTAGTTGCTGCAAAAGGTTGATGGGTGTCTGCAGGAATATCCAGTGAAATTGTTGAAATAACTTCATGGAACTTCAAAAACTTCAAAGTAAACATTTTTTAATTTAACAGGAATAATTACTCCCTTTTCTAATTAATGTCCTGTTAAGATCATAGAGCTTTGACTTCACATTACTGTAGCACTTCCTTGACTGTCTTATCGGCACGCTGTGTACAAAGGGTGTGTCAACGCAAAGCTCACTTGGCAACAATCTTATTCTGTGGAAACACAAAAGGCACTCTCCTTGTGAGTCTCCTGAGGCACATCCAGACTGATCTGCTGGACAGTCTGATGCAAAATTAATAAAAAAAAACAACACACGTTTCACTTTTAAAGTGTTTACTGATGATAAAAAAGAAAAACGTCAGATGATGGTACATAAAAACTAAATCATTAATGGCTGAATCCATTGGTGACAACAAAGCATGCCGTTTTTAGGATGTTTTTCTTTAAACTACATAAAATAAAATAAAAATATTCTGATTAAAATTGAGGACATGAGTTAGTTAAACCCATTGTGTCTGCAACGTGATTGACAATGAATCCATAATCCTCCTATTACTTTTGCAGTCTAATTTTAAACTACTACAATAACATCTATAAGTTAGCTTTCCTCTAAAAGAAACTAAAAAAAAAAATCTAAAAACATGGTTGCTGTGTGAACAAGGTTCAGGTTTGTTGCAGTGGCGCAGGCGGGGGAGACACAGTCTGGCGTTTCATTTAGCATCCAGGACCATGACGTGCACAAAGAGTCCGGCAGAGGGGAGCTTGTCTCCATTCCTGTTGAGCAGAGGCACGTGTCTGTATCCTATGTGGGAGAGGGCAGATAAAGCAGATGTGATCAGAAAGCCAGAAATAAGAAGAGCTGTTTGTGTAGAGTCTGAAATGAGACCAATGTTTCCTCCCTCAGAAAAGGAACAGTTCCTTTTTCTGTTCCTTTACAAACAGAAAACAGAGTCTTGGACTCCGTCACATTATGGCCACAAACTTCAGTGTAATTTTATGTGATAGAACACCACAAAGTGGATTTTAATTATTTAATTATTATTTTAAATAATTAAATTATGCACTGCTTTCTGTTATGTCATGTGGCTGTAACTAGGGATGCACTGATCCACTTTTTTCACTTCCGATACCAATGCGAGTTTTAGTATTGGCTGATTCAATGTATAAAAACAGTGCTGAATTGATTTAAAATCTTTTTTTAAACAGATATAAATGCACTGAATTACAAGTTGATTTACTTCACACTTAAATGCACCAAAAGCTTCACAAGCTTGGTGAAACGTGTAAAGTTGTTCAGTCAGTGCAATTAGGAGCATACAAGTCAATGTAAAAATAAATAAAGAAATTGAAACTGACAAAAACAAACTGACAAATCCTCTTTCCAATGGTTCAGAAATTAAAATTAGGACTTCTAAAAATAATGTCAAACTCATAAAAAAATAAAACACGATGTCGCTCAGAGTAAAAAGCATAGAATTAGATTGACTAGATTTACCCTTATGGATCAGGCACACTGATTTTTATTTTTATTTTTTTAAATATCGAGAACAATACAGATAATATTGGATTGGTGTATCTCTAGCTGTGACGTCACAACAATCTGTCCTTCAGGGAGTCATTGGCTCTTACAGGCACTGAAGGAAAAAAAATGCCTACAACTACAGGCAGAAACTAAAACGTACCCATTTTGAGGCTGTTGAACGGAAGTGTGTACTGTCCGATGAACTCGTTGTCAGACGTCGAGTCGTGGTCCTCTATGAGAAAGCGAACCAGCGCCAGCTCTGGCACATACACGTCAAACTGGAAGTTCTCATTCCAACTTGGGTTGAAACCTTAAAACAAAAAGCAGAGACGTCCCGTAAGCCATATGACGCATCGCTGACGTTATGAGTTATTTGTAGTGTGTGAAGCTCATCACGGGACGGGAGGCGTTTGATGCGGTAAGGTATATTTATTGTGTAAATACGTGCGTTTTAAATGTTGAGTAACTAAGTATTTTTGTTTCATCATATGGTAAAAAGTTGTTTTTAGCCGGTATTTTAAGTTACAAACGTAAACGGTTTGCAACCGGCAGTATGCCATTTGTTTATTTCTTTATTTTTTGGCCTCACATTGTGTTTTTTCTTTGTACGCAATCACAGCTCTTACGGCGAAAGTAGAGGTCTATTTCCATCTAACCTGCATGTTTT